TTCAAGGCATTAAATTAGCCTCAAACAAACTATCATACTCTTTTATATATACATATATATTTAAATTAAATTTCAAAATTTACTTGTAATGCTATATCTATTCATAATAGTTAAGTGTAAGTCTTAAACTCCATCCACAATATTATTAAACACTTTGTTTAAAATAGATAATCTTCTTATATTTCAAGAACTTTTACAACAAGCTGATAGCAAATACAAAAACTATAAAATATTTAAAGTTGAAATTCATTGTATAAAAAATAGTTAGTATTGCACTGTTGCTTCAGATGTTAAAGACAGTTTAGCATTATGTAAAAAGAACAAAAGAGATGTTTCACATGTATAATTTATAATTAAAGATGAATTAATTCAATCAGCTAATTCTAGTAATTAATTGGATACATTTAATATTATAATAGAACATTCTGCACAGTGTTCTCTTTTTCTCCTAAAGTTTGACAATTCTAGATATAATAATCTATTTAATGATGTTTTAAATATTTTGCAAAAAAAAATGTGGATGGTTAAATAGAAAAGAAACAACTATAGGTAAACAATTTGTAGAAAATCTTATTGCTTTACTTTGGAAGTATGATGAATATCATCAAAAGTTGCAAGATCAGGGTTGTCAAATTTTTGAGTTTGTTTCAACTTTGCATAGATATCAAAATAAACAATTTTATAAAAAAGTGTCTCATTATAAAAAGGAAGCTTTGCAAAGTCCTAATTTTGAATTATTGGTAGAAAATATTAAAAAGTGTATAGTTCAACTATAGGCAGGAAATAAATCATGGAATAAATTTATAAATAAAGTTTTTATATTAATTTCATATATTCAAAAATATATAAAATATCTTGAATATGTTAGCAAAAGTGTTAGTATAATTTATAGTTCTATACAATCTACACACAATCTAGTAGATGATAGTAACATTGAAGTTCGAATTGAATATTTTAGACAAGATCTTAAAGAATATTATAAGCTGTTAGCTACAAAAGTGCACAAACAAATAATTATGAAGTAATATTGCCTGATAAATATTTGCCGCAAAATAAATATAAAAGATATACTTTTATTAAAAATTTACAACAAGATACAATAATTATACTTTATCAATACTATTATGAAAACTATCTTGGTACTTTGAATTTTATATAGTGTTCTTTTTGATTCTAATAAAAGATCAGATAATTTACAAGCCAAAATAATAATTAAAATCCAAGAAAAACTTCTTCATTATTTTATATGAGTAATGAGAAAAATATATTTAAAAAGATACTATTAAATTCTGCTATGATTAAATTAATTAAACATTAAAACTAAATATATATAATTTATAGTATTCACTTTTAACCTGAATTACACCAAATATTTTATGTTATTATATTGTGATTTGACTAGAGTCTCTAGTAGTGGTGTAACAGAAAAAATAAAGCAATTAGATAAATAATTAAAGCATATATTAGAATTAGATAATCCAGAAATTGTTGTTGATCTTTGAATTAATAATAGATTTAAAGGCACAAAGTTTAATACATTTTGAAAAGAAGTTGCAATATATTTTTAAGAGGTTAGTTTAAATTTTTATTTATTATAATATATTTTAAAATATACTTACAGTTAATGATCGATATTATAGAGTTACACTTTATATGCTACTTTTATATCTATTCATGATTTAAAAGATACTATAGTCTCAAGATTAAATAAAAAAAAAGATGAAGATTTGATTGAAGAATTTTTAGTTCTCTCAGAACAATAGATTGCCTTACAATTTTGTCCCAAAAATCTATGTGCAAAATTTAGCATTAATTATGTTAGACAATTTGATATTAAATATAAAGTTCAAGTATAACAACTTAAAAAATCTTATCCTGATGTTCATTACTGTCATGCTGTATTTAAATATCTTTGCTATTTTCTATAAAATTTAAAGAATATGCAGTATTAATATTTATTGATGATAAATATAATGTACCAATAGGAGAAGATGTTGTAATATCAACTGGGGTTAGAAATAAACATGTAGCTGTACCTTCTTTAGCAACATTAAATACAAGCAATCATGACTTTACTAAACTATTCTTAACACTATCAGTTACACTATTGGTTACAATACCTAAAGAATCTACTGATTTATTTTATAATGAACAGGTTTTTATATTATATAAGGATACAATTTTTCAATCTAGTTCAGCTCTTCGACATAGCACAGAATTTTATAATAATTTAAACAATTATTATTATGAATTTTTGCCTGAAATTTTAATGATTTATACTGATAGTGGACCAGATCACAGATGTATATTTGATTCAGTTCAGATTTCTTTAATATATCTTTTTTTAAAGGTAATTTTGACATATTAATAGCTGCTAAAACTGCACCATATCATAGCTGGGCAAATCTAGCAGAAAGAATTATGTAAATAGTTAAGTGGCAAATCGCAGTTGAAGGGTATAAAATGATCGACATTTCATAATGATATACGGCGGGTATTTAATATTAAAATTTCATAAATACTGGAATGGCGAACGATTTCTCATTACAAACTGTTAAAAAATAAAAAGCCTATGATATAACCTGTAAGCAAAGAAAAAGCTTAATTATTTCGTTATAGACATACTCAAGATCTGAGATTAGCAGGTTCAAGATTTTTTTTTTTTGCTAACCTAGATCTTTCAAGATTTCAAAAGTAAAGATCTTTAACAGCCTAGTTAAATAGCGTACATACGTATGTATGGTGCAGAAAAGCTAAAAACCTCATTGAAGATAAGTTGAATTTACTATTAAATGCATTTACTCTTCGCCTTCTCCTATTAACAGATTTCTTTAGTCAGATTTTTATTTTTTATAGGTCTCTGGAATAAAGCAAGGAATATAATTGAGAGCAATGACACTCATATTATAGACAACCATTTCACAGACAACCTAATTAACAGAAAATATTATTATAAGATGACTATTTCATCCCGTAGCTTATTTCATAGTTTATTTAATTGACAGTTCATTTCACAACATAATTTGGCTATTGTCATTAGAATTAAGGTTAGTGCAATTTATAAAAAAAAAAACTTGTTGGTGAATGCTAAAAAAAATGAATTAAAAAAACAAACTTATCTGGTTAGATCTTTTTTTCATAGGTTTCTGAAACGAACGATAAATATAGTTAAGAACAGTGCCATTCGTTTCGTAGATATTCACTTTACAAACAGTTTAATTCATAGACAAGTTCATTTCGTAAACATTTCATTTCACCAACAGACTATTTCATAGACAGCTTATTTACCCGGCAGCTCATTTCACAAAGTAATTCTAATCACTGTAATCAGAATAGGTTCAGAATCAGAGTTAGGGTTAGCACAATTTATAAAAAAAAAACTTAGCGGTGTCAATATAAAAAAAAAAAAGCTTTCCAAACTTGAATTTTACTTCTTTGTAGATTTTCAGTATTGTAGTAAATAAAATGGAAAATGGGCGAGTAAAAAAAAAGAGAATAAAAAAAAAAAAAACTTATCTGAATTGAATTTCTATTATATAGTCTGTTGGATTCGAAAGGGTGAACTAGAACAAGATAAAGGTTAGTATATAAAAAGAAGTGAAGCGACAAAGTAAATTGAATCTTATTTTTTTATAGATCTCTGGAACCGAAACGGCGAACTTGAAAAAAAAACTTACCTACAGTATGTTACCCAAAACAATGCGCAAATGCATATCTGAATTATGCACAAGGTAGCATGATTTCGCGCTTACATGGTATTGGCATTTGAAATCTTGAATATCATTTTACTGATTGTGGAGATTTATATGTTATTTTAACAATGACTTAATTTCAAACTCTAGTGAAATAGCCTCCGGCCGTCAATTAGTAAAATGGGATAATAATGTATTTATTCTCCGCTATGGAGAATAAATGCGTTATTCTCTCATTTTACTAACTGATAGCTGGAGGCTATTTTCCTAGAGTTTAAACTAGCATTTATTTGTATTTTTTTTGCAGAGATGGGAGGATCTAATAGATCTAATAGAATGCTTCAAGTAGATTGAATAAGATAAATAAAAATGGGCAATTTCAAAGTTAACGAGTTTTAGAAATATGTAGGTACTTAAAAAATCGAATCTGTGATCAAATAGGAAAATGAAATGGAAGTGTTTGGAAATTCTCTTTCATGAAATACAATTTATAACTCATATATATAGTGATTGAAATGTATATAGTTTGAATTATAAATAAATGCATTTAGAACTTGGTTTGAAAATATAAATAGTTTATTCCAAAAAAATAAATACTTTCTATTTCGCAAAATAAATTCTTTCGACTTTAAACCTCCCAATAAAATATGATATGTATATATAGATAGAAGTTTTTTTTTTTATTTTATTAGTTATTACATTACATTACAGTATTAGTAATTATACCGTTATCTAGAGGTGTGAATGTAATGCCATAACTTGTTATAATTATAATGTTATAGCAAAAAAAAATGCTGTAACTTATAAAAAATTACAGCATTATGTTCACATATCTAAATCTCTCCAAGCGCAATCTTTCTAAATGCAACACTTCTTAAATGCAGCTTTAAACACCAACCAAATACATATTTGACTTATAAATGCAATTTTTTCACTATTTTCTCAACATTTGTTGTTAAAAGTTCAGTTCCTATAGTGTATTTTAAAATAATTAGGAATCGAAATTATTAGTAACTTTAAGGTATTTTAACCCGAATGCGCGTTGCTTACTGAGTAAAGTTGTTATTTTGTATAATAAAAGAAAGTTTTTATTTAACTTACAGATTTTATAGATTATGTTTTATTGAACTAGAGGGTTAAATAATAATTTTTTGCTTAACATAATACAGTTTATTATAAAGTCAAAGTGACGTGTCAAGCTCTAGCTATAATTGATCTCTGCTGTACAACTATATAAAATTTATACCCTTTAATGACGATCTACCTCTTAATCTTGTATTACAAGATATAGCATTGCAATGTAATCAAATGAGTAAAAGTTCTGAATTAGAATTTGCTCAACTTAAAACAATGGAATTAATTCATCAAGTAGCAGAAAATAATTCTAAAATAAAAAAAGAATTATTTGCATCAATTGAAGATATTCAAACAATTTTAAATAAAAGAACAAAATATTTAAAGCTTCATGATAATTACTTACTTACTGGACATATTGCTACAGATATTGAAATTGAACAATTTTTTGAAGTAATTATTTTTAAATATTTTGTATTAAAAGTATATAATTAGTATTATTATTAAAAAATAAATAATAAATAATATATTTATTTAGACTATTTATGCAATTGATTCAAGTCTTAAACAGACAATGACCACATCAAATTCATTAAAAAAGCAACACTTTATCAGAAGTTTCTAAAATCCCATTGCCAAGTTCGAACTTATACATTTCAAATTAAAAAATATACTAATCTAGAATGTCAAATATGTCAGCCAATTCGAATGCCAATTACTGAGTTTGAAATTTTATTTTTTTACCTGATCCTGAGCTTTCTATAGGTTAATATTATAAAAATTAATAAATGTAATTGCTAAAGCTGAGATTCGTTGAAGTGAAAATTATGAGTCTCTAGTTAAATCTATAATACTACTAAAATTCACTTGTATTCTTTTATTACTAAACTATCTCTAAACCTAATCTAACACTAAAAAAAAACTGACAAAAAAAGGCTTAAAAAATTTTTAAAATTCAATATTAAAATATTTTAAAACCTTAGCTTCAGCCAATCTCAGCCTCAGCTACTATAATAAATTTGTATTTTATTTATTTTTTTAACATTTTATTATATAGATAAAGAACACTACAAAGAATTTAATGATATATATGGGCAAATAACAAGTGAAAGATATCGGTTAATAGAACAAAAAGTTGCAAATGAAGATTCTCAGGCTGGTATATATGTAAATACAAAAATTTGACTTCTAGTATGTTGTGATTTTTGTGGAAAATATCGCTGTATTTATAGTGATACATGTTTAAGTAAAAGTAATTCAGAAATAATTATACAGTACCTAGAAAATATTTCATATAGCTGTGGAGCACCAATTCTTCCAAATGAACATAAACTTTTTGAGCAACTTCATATACGTCAAAATCTTACTTGTAATTCACCAATTGAACGAAACTATTATTCTTGTCGCATTAAAGATGTTGATTTATGCTATTGGTGCGGAGCAGATGATGGTATTCTTGAGCCTTCTGAAAATTTAAAGTCTCAATTTAAAACTATTTACCCACTTTGTATTTCATGTGAGGCTAGTGGCCATGAATGGTCTACTCGTGCACCAATTGTATTTCAAAGCAAGAACAAAAAAGTTCGTGCTTAATATATATTTTAAGCTTTATGTAAAGTGAATTTATATATTCCAAAACTGATTTTGAAATATATAATTAATAAATTTTGACATTTATTTGAATTAAATAAGAATTTATAATTCTGTTTATTTTATTATGTTTGTTTAAATTGTCCCCCCGTCTCTAAATTTGAAATATTGACGTTAACCAACTAATTAACTTTGAATGGCCTTATTGTCTAAAATAAATACTTATAAAGTGATTGTCTACGAAGTTAGAGTACCAGTTTAAGATCTATAATGCTTAGATTAAAAATTTTGAGACATGTATCGTTTATAAGCATGATTCGTATGACTAATTTTTGTCGTCAAAGATGTTCAGTACTTTGGCCTGCATTAACATAATTTTTGCCGATGATCTTCAAGATTTTAATTTTGGTCAATAATTTAGTAATTACCGAAAACAAGTCTGTTTTGTACCTTTGAAAAAATGGTTTATTTCATGAATGGTGAAAATGTACGGCCATTATTATTTAAAATTTTGAATCAATTTTATTCATAAATAATTAGATGCCGTAAAAAACTGTAAAAATTTTTTTATAGTTTTATATCAATGATGATTATGTAAAGATTTCTACTTCAAAAGCTTTTGTAAGGCTAATTAATTTATAGTATCTCAGCATTACCACATAAAAGATTGTGATATTAGGTTAGGATTACATTTTAAGATTTGGAGGATATAGTGATACAAACTTTACAAGAAAACTTTTTTTACTTCGTAGAGTTAATGCCATGATTGAAGTTGACACCTGACTTGAAAGTACAACTTCAGCTGGCTGAAGTTATACTCGCCTAAAATTGCTAACTAATGCGTACAAGATGATTTTATTTCAGGCCTAATTTCAGTCAAGTGCAACTGAAGTTGCAAATTCAGTCGAGCGCCAACTTTAGTCACGACATTAGTATGATTTTTCGCGTTTGTTTCGCACAACATTTAATCCTAAAGTTAATTTGCTAGTAAATTTTTTAGATATAATGTAATAGTTAACGTTAAATCGCAAGACTTTGACTTGATTAAATATCCAAGAAATAATGTGGGATTATGCAATATATTTAAATCTGTCATTCTAAAAGTTAGACATGACAATAATTGTTGCAGCTGAAGCTAAAAATTAGAACCTCGATTTAAAAATATAAATCCTACCACGTTAAAATGTAGATTTATTGGTTAAATACCTACAATGTTAAGTAAATTTGACGGCAATTATTAAAATTAAATGTGATCATAATAAACTAGGTACTTGCAATACACATGGGAATTACAAATATTTATATAAATCTAAGTTTTTGTTATTTTGTTAATTTAAAAAATATTTATTTTATAATTTAAAAATCATACAAGTGTAAATTAATTGATAATAAAAGGGCATTATCATATGGGTTCAAGTATGAAATCAGCAGGGCCAGAAGGGAAAGAATAATTTATGTAAATACGATGTATTTAAGGATAATTTTTAGTAGATGAAGCTTATGTTTCTCTTCGTTATTGTTCGCCTCATAACGAAGCTGGCTTTATCATCTTGGCCATCCCAACCGAAATTTTTATTTTATTATGAAATTGAATTAATGTAGTGTTAATAAAAAAAGAATATACATATAAATATAATTTGCTTTGTTACAAAAAAAATCTATATCGATAAGTTATTAGTATCAATCAATCGCTATCTGAATACCGATATTTAATTTCAAATTCTGATACGTAACTAATTTTTTGGGTGACGCCAGAGAGATTTAGTAGTAGCGCAAAGAACTTAATAATTAGATTCCGCGGCTGCAGTAGTTGTGCAAGGATCATAGAAAGCCTGTCATATGATTGGCTGTTCAAATCAATCTAATTTTAATTTTTATACTGTTTAAAGTACTTTTTTTTAAAAAAAGAATAAATTAAAAAAAGGATACAAAAGTCTTAGGACTCCAATATTAAAAATAATCAAAATCCCTTTTATTTTAGAGAAGCTAGCATGATAATAATATAATTCTTCTATTTTTCAGAAGTCGATATTATGCTAACTTATCTAAAACAAAAGGGATTTGGATTATTTATTATAGTGGAGTCCCACGGTCCTAATAAAACTTTCTATATACTTTTTTTATTTATTCTTTGTAGTTTTATTTTTTAAAAAATACTTTTACTATATAAATAATATAAAATTGATTTAAACAGCCAATTATATAAAAATTGCAAGCAAAGTTTAAACTTAAGTATATAGCAACCTAAGTACTCTTTATAGAACCTCGCAAATACCATATTCCCTTACACTGTTCTTGGATTTTATAAAATTTTTAAAAAGTGAGAGACTATGAGTGCAAGGCCTTCATTGAATTAGTTTTGGGCTCCACAGCCATACTGTCAGTGTAAAGACTCCTTTCGTTAGAATGAGCAGCATTTTCATCATTTCATGAATGTTTGCATAATTAATTCTCTTTAGCTATTAAATATCTTCTTGGTGGTTTTCTCTATTTGCTTCATATATGGAGTTGTTTATGAGTTTGTTTCTTGCTGATGCAGTTCTATGTCTGTTAAAAGTGGTTTCTTGCTGGATATATTAAAAGTGGTTTCTTGCTGACGTAGTCTTAGATATGTTAAAAGTGGTTTCTTGCTAACGTAGTTTTAGATATGCTAAAAGTGGTTTCTTGATGATGCAGTTTTAGAGATGTTAGAAGTGGTTTCTTGCTGACGCAATTTTAGATATGTTAGAAGCGGTTTACGAATAACTTATTTCATTAACATTTCTTAAAGAAGCAATATTTAGTTCTGAGATTGAGCCTGTACGAATAGCAGACAGATTCCCATATGAGTGCGTGAGAGTGAAAACCTGGAAACCGATTTAATGATTTACTATGATCGGTTTCCAGGTTTTCACTCTCA